CCTTAAAGCCTTCCATGGCTTTAAGGCATCAAATCTTGGGTTTTGTTAAAATTAAAGCTCATCAGGAGGCTCCCTCAGATCTATGCGGCATCATAAAGTCCAGCCTAACTATATTGAAGGATAGTTTAGCCTCGGACAACTGACCAAACACGCTTTAATGATTTACTATCGACTTAAAGCGCCCACTTTGTGGCAGAGGGACGGCCCCTAAAAGCTGTAGGGCCTGGTGGAGGCCAGCCCAGGAGTCAGTTAGGTATTAAGTATTCAGAATTATGGAAACCGCATGGTTTTGTTATCATACGGAAAACTAAATGGGAAAAAACGCCCGTTTCCACCTGTAGGCATTTAAACATTTCCTAGGAGCAGCTCATGCTCTCTACATGTAAATGTAAGATGGCAAACATCAGATAAAGGCAGCTGCTTCTATCACGGTTTTGTTTGAAATGTGTTTTAACAATATTTTTGCCAAGTTCTGAAAGGAAGGCCCCTTTACAATGAGCTGTGTGCTGGCTCCGATTAGCTATTACCGATACTGTAGGACTATCATATCACTCACAAAAGAGCTGATTTCCAAGGTTGGGATTTTTTTCCCTATTCAATATGGTAATAAAATCAAACAATTTCCTGTTGGGCGGGAGTCAGTGAGGGAACTTCAGATGTCAAAACGCGCACTATAGAATTGTGTCTGAGCCTTTACTGCTCTTTAACTTTCCCCAGACGTGAAGCACCTTTCTCGCGCGTTAATGAGCCCAGGATCACGCGGCACAGACACATTTCTAAGAGGACTACTAGCTGTTTCGAGTTAAAAGAATCGGTCACCGCCGGAGCGTCATTAACGGTAACCCGAGTTACAAGAGACGCGTTTCATATATGCTCAGATAAAGTGGGAGAATGGTGGCTCTAAAGGGCCTTGAAACCATACAGTGATGCTGCGTTCCCGGGCTCCTTTCAAACACCTGATAATAGACACCAGCTCGAGTGTGTGTCGGGGCCCTGAGATGCTTTTGTGGCCGCGCTGCGATACATACGGCGGCATAATTAATTCATCGGGCTACTTGTCAATACATGCGCGGCCGCATTCAGACCCAGACCGGCTTAGATAGTTCCGCACAAGGTCTCCGGCTGACGAGCAAAGTACAACTTCCAGTGAGAAACGCAACAAAGCCGGCAAGGCCAGCGGGGGGGACGAGGAGAAACGCCGGGTTCGTTTAGTTAATTTTATGGTGGCAGCCGTGGAAATTAATTTGCGATCTTGACACCGGGGTGTTGTTTTCGACGTGACGCTCGTGATTTTTGAGAGTTCACTCTCCGAGACCCGAAACCAGACGGAGGAAAGCACGAAATCCGGCTTTTGTGAGAATCAAACCACGAGGCTTTTCAAAGAAACGCAGAGAGCTCGGGACTCTGGAAGCCACAAAGCTCCAGGAGAAGGGGGCAGCAGAGAAGTCCCTCAAACATTTTTCTGTCTGTACTTTAAAAAACAGAGACGTGAGGTGTCTTCTCTCCGATGCGTAAAATGGATCATCTCCTTAATACTGAAAGTAATGGATGCAATAATCCCAAAAACCTTGCTGATACCTGCCAGGTGCTGCGACACATTCCCGGCTTCCACAGAGAGAAAAGACGTGATGCCTTCAGGTGTCCAGCTGACACTGGATACAGAAATCTAAAAACAAAAAAGAGAGCGGTACGGATCTCTGACATGGACGGGATCCTCTGGCTGGAAAACAGCGTAAACTGGGTCTGGCTGCTTAGTTTTCTGAGTAAAAACTGTTCCTGTCTGATTTCCCAAAGAGGTGGCGAGGAACTCGCACCGAGGTTTGATCTGAGCTGGTTTAGACGAAAGAAAAGGGCCGTTCTGCCAGTGAATGCACCATCCATCCATCCATCCATCCATCCCTCCCTCCATCCATCCATCCATCCATCCATCCATCCATCCATCCATCCATGGGGAACCAGAGGCATTCTGGGATACATAATCTCTCCAGTCTTCTCCTGGTTCTGCCTCAGGGTCCATTCCCAATTGGACCTTCTTTGAATCAGAATCCACTTTGTTCTTAAGCTTGGTTAAGGAGCTCATCACTTCTCTGGAGGTATCAAAACACTTTGTTTTTTAATTAATGTCTTCACAGGTGGAATTCGCTAAGAAAAGAAAGGTCCCATTTTGCACGAGGAGCTCGGCTAATTCAGAGCTGAAGCACCTTTGTTGACGCTCGTCGGGAAACAATGCGATCATTGAGCCAAGTTTCAAATCGAGAGGGGTCAGAGGTCAAAATACTGTTATGAGCAGGTTCATGTTTTACCTCCACTGTCTTGATAAGCTCAAGACAGATATATGCACTTCTCATTTAGGAGTTAATGAAGTTCAACATCAGAAGGTGAGAGTGGTGTGTGGAGCCATAATAGATCTTTTCTATTCAACTTTTTCTGTAGTCGAGGGAAAGAGAAAACGCAGCGAGGCCTTGAGGCTTCGAGAGAAAGAAAGGCACGCCCCGCCTCTGTACTTTGCTTTTTACAGGTTAAAACGCAAGTTATTAACCAAGAATAAAGCAGATGTTAAGTAAAGGTTGACTGAGATTAATTATGAAATGCAAATCACTACTGAACTCTGCGGGAGGATGGCGAGGTGCTCACAGGTTCGGGTCAATCTGCAGCAAGACGTATAAATGTCAAACTCTTAATGAAGAAACCCCCTTCCTCGATCATCTCTGGGTCATGGTGGGGGGGGTCTAAAGGCTGTCTGAAACCTGTAGTCATCTGATAAAACCTCCACAGGCCTCGTTACTAGCTTGTGGACAAACTAAGGTCATGTTTCTGATTTGTGTCTCATTCTAGGAGGCGGAGCCTAATGGTGACTTATGATGGACGCCTTCATTAATAAAAGGGCAAAAAGACAAAAAAGAGACACCAACTTACTGTTCAGTCTAATTCTGGAGTCAGTCGTTCAGTTCTCTAATCATTCTCTAATTTACTTCAAATGGGCTTCAAAGCCTCAGCAGCCTCCATTAATATTAATAAAAGTGGTGTGGACTGATTACTTACACCTGACGGGACCCGGTCGCTCCTCATGGTGGTTTTTCCTACGAGAGGCTGCAAATCCTCTCCTATCCTGGACAACTCAACTCTATCTCTGTGGAGCAGCGGTCTGGAGCACACTGCGGCTCTGTCAAAAGCTAAAGGGAAACATTCAGCTGAAGATGGAAACACAGGGTCAAAGTTAGATAATGACACATATTGAAGTCCCAAAAATGAAAAAAAAGTCGATTTCTCAAAGCAAAAGGAAATTGATTCTCTAAAAAGTGTTGAATAGAAGATGTCTGAGGAGTTTCTATCAGATTATTTGAAAAAAGAATGAAAAGGAACTCATGAAAAGTTAATACAGCTTTTTCAAGAGTGAGACTTCAGAGTTAAGGATCCAGTGAAGAAAGGAAATGAAATTCTCAAAACTAGCCAAATAGCTTTGTTTAAATAAACTTTATTTCATATAACTGGAATATGTGCCGACAGATATAATTACACAGAAGGCCATCGTGAGTCAGTGACGCCACAGAATCTCCCCCAGTGGAAAAGCTTTGTGGTTTCGACAATAAAAAGGCAAATAATAGGGGAAAAGACACAGGAGGTGATGTCTGTGGTGTGTAGGCTAAAAAGGTAAAAAAATAAATACAATTTCAAGAGCTAATTCGTACTTGAAAAAATAAGAAACGCTGAGTTAAACATCTTCTGGTTTCATTTAAGCTGCAAGAACACTTTAAAACGCTTCACAGAGCAACACAACACTGACCACAATCATTGTTTTGTTATCCAAAACCTCAAATGATCAACAAATTTACATTTAGTATCACATTTTAGTCAACTCGGTCCACAGGTTCGACTCTCCCCATCTATAAGTGATCTCAGCTCCTTTTGAAGTCATCCTGTACGTAAACCAGTACGAAGTTACCCAGAAAAGAGCGCACAGAATCAGGAAGTGCTCATTCAACCCCATGAACGTTAACACAACATTATTTAAGGAGATTTTACTAGTGCAAGAACAGTAAACAAACAACTTATATCCGGGAGGCCCAAGATGTGTCTCCACTTTTTAAATAAAGCTGTCAAACTCCTCCAGCTCAGAGAAAAAAAGGCCTTCAGGTTTAAAATCGGGCCCAAAAGTGATTATTCTCACTTTCTAAAATCATTTAGTTTGTCCGAACCAATGACAAACTCTCTCCAGAACCTTTGATTTAATCTTCCCTTTCAGAGCTGATCTACTGTTCAATTTTAAATAACTGAATGTGCTACGACGTGTTCATCCATTTACTATTAAACTACTATACGATTCAGTCCGGGCATTTCTCACATTCTCAATGTTTCTGAGGTTTGGAAGAGTCCCGGTTATATGTTATAGCTTCTGAAATATGACAAAACTGGAGCATTTTCTGCTGCATTTTAGAAACTTAATTAGGGATTTTCACTCTACATGTAGTGAAACTGCATTTCCCATTAATTTAATTGCACTTAAACCCATCGGATCCATTGCATTTGACTCTATTATGAGAAATGAATGCAATTCACCATTTGACTTTTCTTTGGTGCTGCTTGCACGACTTGAATGTTTTCCCTTCATAACACACTTTGTCTTTCTGACGTAAGCACTTTTTGGTAATAAATTTATTTTAAAAAAAGAAAGAAAAAGAAAAAAAAAGCAGGGAGGGCTTTAAACGCAGGTCTTTTTCTTTGTCCTGGTTTCTAGAAAATAACAAACAGCTGCTAACTGAATGAAGAATGTTCCAGAAAAAGTCCAATGATGCTTTCGGTGGTTTCAAATTTTAAAGAAAATGAAAAAAAAAATGAAAAAAAAAGAAACAAAGCCACTTTTTCCTCAGTGAGATCGCTGATTAAAAGTCTATTTTCTTTCCTCTGTAACTGTGGGCCGCTGCTCGTTGGGGCAGGTCAAATTAAAAAAGGAAAACGGAGACATCAGGACAGCAAGAAGAAGACAAAGCTGGAGGTTACGCGCATCCTTCTGACCACTGCGTTCACTCCTCTGGTTCATGCACAGTCGGGGTCAGAACAAACCTTCATGGACTTCATGGTGAAAACTCTGGAGCATCTTACAGTGACAAACAAAAACGGCTGAGGTAATAAATTACACCGATGGGACGAAAAACAAAAAACAAAAAAAACAGGCACAGTAGAGGGCAGCCACACAGGAAAGAACCTCGACATTCACTGGAAAGCTGTCATCTGTAAAGCACGAGGAGGCTGTCGGAGAATCCACCACAGAAGAAGAGCGTTACAGTCTTTGAAGGAACCGGATCCGTCTCAGAGTTTGGTGAAAAACTTCCAGACAAACGCGGGTTCCTTCACGCCTCAGCGCACGACCGTTGTTAATTACACATATACATAAAGTCTGTTTCAACTAGTGATTTCTGACCATGTGCGTGGAGTCACCGGTGGACGTAGGTGACCCTGAAGTCTCCGGTAAGAGTCCAAAGTCTGGACCTCGGTCACTGGGGATGTGGAGCCCGCCTCTCCTCCAGGCAGCGGCACACCCACATGGACACCACCTCCGCATTCCCGTCGTTGTACTGGATGATGAAGGAATGATCCTGCAGCACAAAAAGAAAGAAAGACAGACAGAAATGGTCAGACTTAAAATAAGAAAGAAAAAAAAGCCAGAGCAAGAAAGCCTGTAATTCATCACAAAACTGGAGAAGTGAAATGCTCCACTCCTCTGTAAACCAGAGCAACAGGCATTACGGATTAAACTGAGCTTTATCTGTTTCAGAGACTTTGGAAATACCATTTTTTTTCTTTGAAAATTAATGAAAATATTCAATAAATATCCTCTGCGTCAGTCTTATTATTTTTACAACCTTCAGAATAACTGTTAAGTGATAGATTTAAAAAATGAACCAAAGTGATAATAAAACCCACAAGTAATGAGCCTCTTCATAAAAACAGAGTAAATTTAAACTATCAAATTGTTTTTCATCCCATCTACAACATTATTTTCATTATCAAACAGATTGAAGCCATAAAAATGATTGTACCTTTAAGGGCAGGACATAGATAAGCAGCACTCGTTTATTTATTCTAAACAATGGGCCACAAAAGGGTATTAAAATCCAAATAAATGAAACAGGGGCGTCATTAAACCCTACTGACTATTAATGACTAACAGATTTGAAATGACGGCTTGTCAGGGCCTCTTAAAGGACTCTAACGATCCACATGAGTCATAACAGGATGTGAAATGAGTTATAAAAGGTAGCAGAGATTCTCGACACTTATTCGTCAAACGGGAAGATAACGACTGCCTTTCCTCAGTTGGGCCAATAAACCGAGTCAGAGACTACCCAGGGGTCAGAGGTCAGAGGTCATAGGTCGCACGAGAGACAAATTTTATCTGAGGTGTCTCGACGTCCAATTAGGCGCACGGTGCGGTGGCCTGTAGTTTAAATGAAGCTGTCAACAATGATTTCAGCTGAATCTGAAGCAGGATGAGACACGGCCGAAACACGGTTAAAATAAAAAGAATCCAGCCTAGAAACGGCCGCAAAGAGACCGGCCGCCCCGATTAGCCCGAAGAGCTGCATTTCACTATGAACAATAACGAGGGAGCAAGACTTTAAATGTAGCCGGGAGGTCTGAGGACCAAGAGGCGCCAGTAAACAAACAAAAACCAGCGCTCCAAACAACAAAATCGCCACTCCAGAACCGAAAAGTGAATCCAGGGTGGTTGTTGTGGTCAGCGCTTTCTTCGGAGGCTGTTCAACAGCCGCCGGCCACAAAAAAAACTGGTACAGACGACGTAGGATTAAAGGCAAAGTAGGACACAGGTCCGCTTTCCCCTCCTGGGAGTCTTTTTATGGTTTGGTGGGAAAATAACTAAAGCTGCAGATTATGTTAAAAAACAACAACATTCACAGTAAATATGGTGGAAAAGTTTCTTCTAAAAAATGATCTGAATTTGTTTATTGAAATTGGATTAGGAGTTTTCTTTTTAAAGCTGTTTTTTTCTGTGCTGCTTCTGACTGAACGTGACTGTACTTTGATATCTAAAGAAAACGGCGGCACATTCCAGCGTGCTTTAATTGTGCAGAGACTGCTAAAGACTGGGGGGGAGCCCCATCAATCCTGTTGTCCTTCTAATGGGCAGCTGGGGTTAACACAGTCTGAGGTTAATTACTCTCATATCAGTGTGTCTGCACGCGTGTGTGTGTGTCGGTACAAGACGGGCGGGCGGATGCTTCTGGGTGCCCCCATGTTCTGGACACCCCCCTCATCCATCATCCGCCCGGCCTCGGCAGAGGGAGAAAGGAAGGGGGAGGTCCTCTGTGACGGTTTAAAATCAAGCCGCACAGCCTCTGATCCGGAAATTAACCCGGACACGCCACCGTCATCTGTTGGAGTTTGACCTGGATGGAGACGCATGTCAGGACAGACACACACGCACACACACACACACACACACACAGACAAACACACACACACAGAGACAGACAAACAGACACACACACATACGCACATACGGAACGTTTCTGTTTTATAATCTGAAAGATTCCCTCCATATATACAACGAGCACAATTTGAAGTTAATTCTAATCACAGAAGCTGGACAAGAATGCAGATCATTCAGAATTTGGAAAAAGTTTGACTGGAGAAGGAAAAAAGCCATTTTAGAAGGGAGATTTATGATTTAAGTCTTGGAAACGGCTGGGCTCAACACCAGGACAGAAAGGTGACCCAGCACTTCATAAGAGCCGTGCCAGAGTGTGTGTTTGTGCTCAGGAAACACATCCTGAACAGAGTTTAAAACTCCAGCTCGGTGAACAAGACTCAGAAGAAAACAAACCTCAGAAATGCCTGCTGGCTTCGGACTCTGTCAAATTAATTTGTAAAAATTGTCACCAGGACATGAAGAAAAAAACAAAAAAAACAGAGCTGTGCTGAGATTTGAAAACTGTGTAACTTCATACAAACGTTTCCCACAAACAACAGGGAACCAGAACAAGATCCGGGTTGGTGCTCGGCTCTGTTTCCTCTAACGGGGCCTTGAATTTCCCCCCGGGGATCAATAAAGTATCTATCTATCTATCTATCTATCTATCTATCTATCTATCTATCTAT